CTACACAGTATCGATTTTTTCCCCCCACCCCTAGTATGTGGTGTGCCACGCCAATATTTTTAGTGGGCCCCATATGCCACCCCTATGCAAATTTTTGCCACCCCTATGTAAAATTCTGGAGGCGCCCCTGGCTTTAGCGCTTCACATATTTGTCTGCACTGGCTCACTTTAAAGATGGGTTAAGTATTTTTGTCCACTTGTGGGCAGTGGTGCAAGAGGCAAAAACAGCACCTGATACCGTGACATACACCAGCCATATTATGATTTAGTCATGTTTCTGACCACCTGTGGTGCAGGTCTGATATATGGTCCACAGCAGCTACAAGGAAGGAAAATATTGGTCTCTCGGCTGCCCCACTTTCCCACAAGCTTCAGGGGGAAATATTGAAGAGAACAGATTTTGGAATTGTTACTGTTTTCAACGCTGTTGTTACAATTTTCAATAGCACAGCCTTAAAGAAATACAACAAAAATCATTTGAGTGGATTAATCAGGGGATGAGTGTAAGTACAGGCTCATGTTCTTGTCTTGGTCTCTGTGCGGCTGTCTTGTCTGTCTAGCTTACAGTCTAGACTTGAAGCTGCAGTCTTTCACACCAGCAAATGATTAATTGGTTTTCCTAGTGTGTTTGTGCATGAAGCAGCCTCGCCTGCAGCAGATTCCATTGACAGGCACAGAACAATAATGGCAGGTGGCCAAAGCTGATTCATCTGCAGCACTCGGGTCACAGCAAAATAATAATCCAGGTCACTGACTCCCAACCTGAACCTGAGAGGAATCTGAGGCCGGCTGATGATGTGAGGACGTATTCTGAATGAGCAAACAGCTTCACAATAAAGGCGTTTAGCTGATATACACCTCCTCCCTGTGCTGGAGTAGGACGCTAACAACTTGCTCGAGCGCACTCTGGCAGGACTCATCCTCACTTTGTGTTATTATTGAATATTTTGGCAGTATTGGGACTCTGCTTTTAAAGCCTATGGCCTCACAGCAGGAATGTGTGGTGTTTGGGTCATCCTCACCAGCTGTAGTTATGAGTTTCCTGTTGTTGTTTACAGTGTTTCATAATCTCACAGGAGGTTAAAAGTAAAAAATACTAATACTATCTTTGTAATTACACAATGAAGAATGTAAAAAACACGTTACCAGGGTCAGCTCCAATGGGTTCACATGTGCACTGCTGATCTTAACTTTATATTTCTTTAACAACCCCATTTCCTAAAGAATCATTGATTTTCCTGAGGTGCGATTACAAATACGCACGTGTTCTTATTGCCTCGTTAAATAAAGATTGTAGGGGACATTGCACCATCTAGTGGAGCAAATTTGCATCAAATGGAAGTACAGCTCGGCCTTGATTCAACTTCAGTTGATATCTATTTCACAAAATGCAAACTGGTTTTGGTCATTTTTATATTCTATTGAATATTAAAGTCACAGACTTGCAGTAAACTCAAACTGCAACAATATAATTACCTGTTAGGGTCATTACCTTACAATATAAATCCATATATGTTAAGGTACCGTATAAATAACATTGAATTAAACTGTCAATAAGTAACTGTTAGGTTAATATTCCTATATGAAAAGGTTCATACATTAATAAGGCATAGTTCTCACTTGAGACTCCAGCAAAAATTATTATAGTTAATTATTAAAAGAGGTGATGTT